CATGGCAAAATTTTAACTGACAACTGATCATTGAGATCCACCCATCCAGACCCTCCCGAGCGCCTAATTAAAGGAAAGGTTTTCATACTGAATGTCGATAAATTTCAACTTATCTGACGACTGACATATAGACACTGACACTGTGACCTACCCTCCACTGGAGACCGTCACTATTTAAGGGCGCTACTGTGAGGTACTGCTTTAGTTTCTTCGAGTCGTCGTGACAAGTGAAGAGCAAGCAAAAACAAAGTTGTTTCTGGTTTTATTTGGTGTGTTTCAGGCGCTTCTTTACAGGTAAAGCGTGAAATTCACTTTATCAAACGAAATCCGTTTTAAACCTTTTCGCCATGTTATTTACGTCTAACAATCTTCGGAGAAGCGAAATGCTTTTTTAAAAAATGCTTCAAAGGTATATTAAACCGCTACAAGATGTATATACCTATTCCAGAAAAGTTTTTTGTAGAAAATGTCGAATGGCAAATGGAAAATGCACGAACTTTTAAGGAGCCATGGGTTTGTTTTGCTTATTGCTGGGAAATACTTACAGATTCTTAAGTTGTAGTCACGATTAGTAATTACCGCCAGAGTATCAGGGTCTAAGAGTCCCAAAAAGCCCTCAAATCCCTTTATTTTAATTTTTGAAATTGTTCTGCTAAGTTTTTAGTCTCTCTCTCACCCTAAGACTACTATTTCTATAAACCAACATATTAAACTCANCATCACTGGAAGAGCTAGAGCAGCTTAGTTAGGTCCACGTATTCCAATAGAGTTAAAGCGTTTGTTATTTGTGGTACAAACAACTGTCGTAGTTCATTCTTTGTCGCATTTTCGGCAATAAGCCGCAAGCGTGCTCGACGATTTGACGTTTCAAACTCTTATCTGATCCAAAAATCAGTCTATAGGTATGATACGTTAATGCTATAAGTACGTTAAATGAAAAGATGGGCAACAATTTAACAGACAATTGCAAATACAGTTTGATTTCAAATGACAAACTATATTGCGACCCCCTAACACCAGACCTTCCGTGAAATGAATGACAGGAGGTTTCATGATTCAAAAACAATGTCAAATAAACTGGCAGCTCACAATTAACACATGGCAAAATTTTAACTGACAACAGATCACTGAGATCCACCCATCCAGACCCTCCCGAGCGCCTAATTAAAGGAAAGGTTTTCATACTGAATGTCGATAAATTTCAACTTATCTGACGACTGACATATAGACACTGACACTGTGACCTACCCTCCACTGGAGACCGTCACTATTTAATGGCGCTACTGTGAGGTACTGCTTTAGTTTCTTCGAGTCGTCGTGACAAGTGAAGAGCAAGCAAAAACAAAGTTGTTTCTGGTTTTATTTGGTGTGTTTCAGACGCTTCTTTACAGGTAAAGCGTGAAATTCACTTTATCAAACGATTTTCCGTTTTAAACCTTTTCGCCATGTTATTTACGTCTAACAATCTTCGGAGAAGCGAAATGCTTTTTTAAAAAATGCTTCAAAGGTATATTAAACCGCTACAAGATGTATATACCTATTCCAGAAAAGTTTTTTGTAGAAAATGTCGAATGGCAAATGGAAAATGCACGAACTTTTAAGGAGCCATGGCTTTGTTTTGCTTATTGCTGGGAAATACTTACAGATTCTTAAGTTGTAGTCACGATTAGTAATTACCGCCAGAGTATCAGGGTCTAAGAGTCCCAAAAAGCCCTCAAAGCCCTTTATTTTAATTTTTGAAATTGTTCTGCTAAGTTTTTAGTCTCTCTCTCACCCTAAGACTACTATTTCTATAAACCAACATATTAAACTCATTTTGTTTTGATTTTTTAGTTAAAACATGAAGTCAAAGCTAATCTTGGTGTTGGCCGTTTTGCTTTTGTTAGAGGCTGTTTCTGTTCCTGCTGAACGTCCCCGCTCTAGTTATAGTAGGTTTATCGTTATTATAAAGATATTGTAATTGCATATGACTAATGATAATASTCCATAACAAAATGAATTCAAAACACAAAGTACCGAATTCAAATGATCCACTTCTACAATTTCAATTTCAAAAAAAAATTAGTTGCAAAATGTGGACTTTTCTAAAATTGCTAGCCCACATGCAATTAAACTTGCTGTGAGTCCAAGAAAAATGTAACAAGATTTCGTGCTCGAAAAATGAAAAATAGTACAACACATTCATTTTTTTTTACGGANTAAAGAACGTTAAAGAAAAATTAAATAAAGAACGTTAAAGGATATTTATCTTGTAGGAGTTATATTTGTGCAAAGATACTCATTGCCAGAAATTTGGGTCATTGACCAGCGGTTTTCTTTGGCTCAGATATTGACGATTTTATACGTTAAATACAAAAGGTTTGATCAAAACATTTCATTTTCGTTGTACAATTGCGTTATTATTGCGATTTATATTTCAGAATAGCAGAATTAGAAAGTTCCTTTTTATAAATGGACCCATAATGTCGAGAAGCACAAAATTCGCCTAATTTTTAGAATTTTACACGGTAAAAAAGCATAAAGACAAACATTTGAACTTAAAAATGGGGAGGGACATGTAGTCTAGTTTCTTTTCTGAAAATGCCCGCACACACATGTCTCTTGCAGTATCCATCATGGATACCTTTTGATCCTTGACTGGGATTAATTATCAGTGTATCGTTTACTCAGCATTTTAATCAAAGTACTTTTAATGGCCTTTTTTTATAATATAACTTACGTCTTCCTCGAACAACGTAAGGGGACATTGCAGTGATTTTAATCCGTCGTGTACGGTGCGTAAACTATTGTGCAACACATTGAATTGATTGAAATACAAAGCGTTTCGTACTTTTGGACGAACTGTTCTCTGAAAACAACAACATGCTCACCTTCAGTGGAGAGAGGAAGCTCATACCGATCTCCTGATGAACAGTCACTTATCTCTATGCTTTAATTAAAGATCTTTTAGGGTAACAAGGCGCGTTATTCTTCGTTTGCACGTTACGTCATAGATCCAAAAAAAATCAATTTAAACTTAATTTCCCATGAAATCGATTTTACTCTAAAATATAGTTTACAAAACTATGTTTCGAGATAATTTTTGAACTTATATGCGAATAATTTGATGCACAACGTGTTTTATTTGGTAGCCAAAGTCATGTCACACAACGCCAGGTCACGCGCATGAAAAGCCGTGGAAATCATCTAAAATTCTTCTAAATCGTAGTTTTTTGTTTTAATATAGATTTAGAATTGCTAAATGTAGTGAAAATAAGGTATATTTGCTACTTTGTACCCGAAATTATGTTCATAACAGTTAACCGCCATTTCTGGTGGACTTCAGAGGTCCACCAGTACGGTGCCGCCATACATTCTTTGCAAAGATCGGCATATAAAATTGCTTATAAACTTGCAACAAAAGCTCGGTTCGACTCACAACTTCACAGAACTACAGAATTTTAATACGTCTATTATGTGGAAGTACCGAAATTTTATCTTTGATTTTAAAACTCTCTAAAAATGTTGGTGCCGTAAAAGCGTATAAACATGACCTCGCCATACATTTCCTTCTAAAAAATTAGCGTATAAAATTGCTTATATCTTGGCAAATAAAACTCCTTTCGGCGAAAAAATTCTCAGGGATACAGAGTTTTACTCGCTCTTTCACATGGATTACTTGTATTTTGTTTATGACTAATTTTACGGAATTTTTTTTTCCATGACGTACCTGCAAACGAAGAATCAAGATAATATTAGAAAGTATCAGATGTCATTTATACTTTATCGATATCGTGGTCGATCAATTGCAATTGCTTTATACCTTTGCCTTCGCTTGTCTTGAGTCTACAAGACGCCATACAGTTAGTCTTTTCTTGTATAATGTTGATCAATTCTCTGTAGTAAGATCAGTTCAACTCGAACAACCGCTCCACAGCACAACACAGCAATTATTGCTATTAGTACAAGGGAAAGTCTCCCCGATGTAAAGCTAGATTTTTCGGACATTTTTTCCGTCGATTGCAACTCGGAAAATTGATATGGAAATGAGCTTCAAAGATTGTCGGGGCCTAGGAGGGGAGAGCAGAACTGGGCGAACTCAAATGTCACAGTCAACAATTGGAACCAATTTTTCATGCAAAATTCCTATTGATCAACATCCATACGACCCTTTACCTGTCACGGAGTCAAATTCTCATGGCTCACTTGCGTGATCAAAAAGAGATGTTTTTTAAATACAGTCAAACAAGATTTCCTCCAAAATTCTTTACTAATTAAAGGGGAAGAACGCTCCATTATCCTATTCTGAGAAGTGAACGCTTATAAAAAAAGAGTGGTTTTCCGTCAACCATGAAAAGAAATAGACCAACTAGTTAGTAGCAACTGGTAATAGTCAATATAACTTTTAGACACATAGACTATAGACAAATAGCTAACCATTAAAATTAGCATAAAAAACTTGTTTTTGTGATGAATATGTTTATACCTATCAATCGGATACAGGTTTACTCTAGACTAGACTATTAGTATTGGTCTATTACAAACTACTACTAACTATTGGACTTAGAACGGATTTCGTATGACTGTGCAAAAGCACGGATCACAACACGGACACGTACTGCACGGTCACGGAAATTCGCCTTCTAGAATTTCAAATGAAAGTAAAGATTTTTCAATGCATCACGGCTACGGCACGGTACGGTCACAGCACGAACGTACCGTGTTTTTTTGCACAATCATACGAAATCCGCTCTATTTTGTTTTTATGGTTGACAGAAAACCACTCTATGTTTCAAAAATTGTCATAAGAGACTTTTGTAAGATGTAAACATGTATGTATCTGCATTTGGAGAATCTTTTTCAGCATGCATTTCCTTATTTTTAATATTCTTTTCCTTTTTTTTTTTTTTGCTTTTGTTTCGCTGATGCAAAAATGTGCTGGAGTACATGCATATATCTGGAGTTTGAGACTTTTTAATCAAAGAATATAAAACTCACGCGATAAAATGATTTGCAACACATTTTAGTTTGATGGAGACTGCCTTTAATTTACTTTTAACCTTGTTTTCCAATTACAGTTTTGAATGAAATGCAGCAAACACTCAATCTACATCCAAAATTTATAGCAAATAATTGAAGTTTATGACGATAAACGTTAGTAAATCTACTCTGAGTTTTATCTTTGTCGTTTTTGATGGATGTCAACCAGTTTCACTTTTTGCATGAATCGATGATCTGCACTTGGCCATATTTAGTACCGGATATGACGTCATTCCACGTCAAGACATTTCCGGATGCAGGAATTTCACGATTTTTCGACATAGCAGAGATTTCGTTCAGTCCCAGTACTCTGTTCCAGATATTAATCCCGGTCAGCTCACCAACAAAAGACTGATATTTTTGGAAGCCTCCGCCCACTTTGTCCTGATCTTGCCCGATTATCAGAGAACCTCCACTTTTAATCACGGGACCTTTCTTCAAGCTCCCTTGAGCACGTCGAACGCCATCTTTGTAGATAACCGTTTGGCCAGCGGAATTGTCCCATGTTGCGCATATGTGGTGCCACTGACCGTCCACGACGAGAACTCGTGAATTCCTAAACCATAAAGAGATTGAATAGGTTATTTGCACTTCATAGTGGTAGCAAAATGCATTGTACACTTTCTTTTGTCCTGCAATTCGGGTCGGATCCAGAAATTTTGACGGTGGGAGATATTTACTTAGGGGGACATCACTCAAAGATAACACCCAAATTAAAACCCGTATCTCTGCGCAGTCATGTAACTGATCCTCTATATATTTATTTTTATGATAACCGGAATAAAACAGTTCAGAGGAGCAATAGACCAATCCCTAAAATTCGCTTGCACTAACACGAAACAATGACTCCATTTCGAGGCTGGAGTTGCAATACTTTATTTATCCACGTTCAATCTCATCAGGTAAATTACAATTACTAGCTAAGTATAAATGCCTATGATATGACAATAACTAATTATGATACACTAATCTATATAAAATACTAACTATGCACCTAATGACGAAAACCCAACGAAAACGTTGTCCTGAGATTTAGTGATTTAGGAAATTAGGAATACAAAACATGACCACTGAAGCCGAACACTTTCTTTTGTATTTTAATTAATTCCTAAATAGTAAAAGTTCTTTTTTCCTGGACAACGTTTGTGTAATTAGGTGTATATAATATAATACTAAAAGCCTCCTTTCCATGAGAGCCGTGCATTAAAACGAACTGATATAAACTTAGACTACTGCAGCCCAGCTTTGAGACTTGTTAGCGTTTCTGCTTGCGGTAACCCTACTAGCAAACTGTTCCAGAGAACCACACCACTATATAGCTAAAGCTATTGTTACTAAAGTAGTTGGTGCGGGGCTTTGCTGATACAGTTAGTTTGCCCTCGGCGTGTCTCAGAGAGTATACGGTATAACGGTATGTGAACATGGATCGCATATATTCAGGTGCGAGCCCATTAAATGATTTGTAAACCATGGCAGCCTTATGAAATTTTCTTTGCAACTTTAGATTTTGCCGACCAAGGATTTCAAAAAGATTCGGCAATAGCGTCATACTCAGAAAAGGTTAACACCCTAGCTGCTCTGTTTTGAAGCTTATGTAGCTTGACAGCTAGAGCTTTAGATCACCCATCCCAAACTTCACAGCTTTATCTTTTGTCGAAAACTCCAGCCTCGAAAAGAAGCCATTGTTTTGTGTTCATCCAAGCGAATTAGGAATTGGTCTATTAGTTGTATAATAATTAATATTATTCCATGTGCACAAAGGATTACAAAAAAGTATGTTATGACAATCCATTTACCATCCACTTCCAACGACGTGTACATATAATGTCTTGTGATGGTTATAAAGAATCATTTCATTGTAGTTCGCTGGTACAGCGTAGCTTATCATGGTTCTCATTGAGCTACTTTTTGACGTCATCATCCAAAGACAAACAGTGAGTCTCGCCATTGCAGGCAGTTTTCTTTTTACCACAATGTAGTCGGTGACTGATTCACGGGTAAACTTGACAATTCTCATTTCTGGTCGAAAAAAAACAAATATTGGCTATTAAAACGGTGACTGCTGGTGATTTACGTATACATGGGCGCGCGGAGATAGATACTGACTAGTTTTATCTAGTCGTCATAAAGAAATTGAGGTGTCTCTAACTTGAAAAACACATGATTTAATGCAAACGTTTCGATCGCAACTGCGATCTTCTTCAGTGCAGTGGCAAAATGTTGCTCTCTGAACGGGGAAAATTCTACAGTTAAGTTTAGTGTGTTCTTCTGAAAACAGCGTTGAGGTATGCAATATATATTGGACATTCATGAACAAACTCGTCTTATCCTTCAAAGATCATCTTCAACAGAGCCATACTTGTTTCAAGCATAGGTTTCATCAATTCATAAAGTCATTTAAGACTGTCGGTTCTTTTTTTCTAATCTCTATCTTATTCCAGTGCTGCTGGCGTATTACTTACATTGTAAAGTGGACCTTAAAACGCTTGAATATAAATTGTTTTTCATCTTTCATAAATCGATTTCCCGGATATGCACACGCGTCAATTATGACAGAAATTGGCGAGAATATTTCTGTGTTTTGATTTCGCTCTCCAATGTAATTTTTTCTTGTCAGTGATATTTTGTCGCTTTCTTTTCCTTTTTGCGAGAAGCATGGTTTCCCTGTGGTGGTACACGGACGCCCGGAAGGAAGGAAGGAAGGAAGGAAACGTGCGTGCACGCGGGAGCCCTGTGTCGGTCCATGAAAAATCGACTCTATGGATATTTAACAAATTGCGCACGGTTTTGATTTGTATGTCCTCTTATTGACACACTCTTGGCGTCATAAAATGTTCAAAACTCAAGTGGACCCTCGAGCGCTGCGAGAATTTACACAACGGTGTGGTAAAAACCATTTCTTCTTAGCTATGGTGCTCCGCGCGCGTTACCTTTTATAGTTACCCTGGTAACACTCTTCGACGTTGCCACGCCAGCACTAACCGCTGTACAAGTGTATTTGCCGGCGTCAGAAGTCTTCATTCTAATTATCGTCAATCTTCCGTTGATCAACTGAGTCCTGTCTTTTGGTAGCCGTCCGCTCTCTTTACTCCACGTTATTACCGCAGGGGGGTCCCCTGTCGCTTGGCAATCGAGCGTCAGTTTATCGCAAGCGTTAACCTGCTGGGGTGGTGTGCTGATGAATTTTGGCGGAGATACAACAATGACTTTGATAGTTTCAACCGCTCAAGAGTACCCAACGACAAGTTTTCATATAATCACCTAAAATGATGTCTATGTCACATGACACGAGTTCCCACGCGGATTATAGTTAATTATTAACATCGCTGGGAAAAAAATAACCGCTCCACATAGCCTGAGTCTGAGGATGAGGCTATCAGTGTGCCTGTCTAGTTTGTAAGACAAGCCAAGCCGTTAAACATTCACAGAAACGTCTGCAAAATTCACGAAAAAAAGCCATTGCTGACTAAAAATCGCAAATGTTCACAGGATCGTCTGCAAAGCCACGGGACGTCTTAGCAAACTGCTATACTGCCACTAACGCATGCACTAAGGTAGTTTGTAAGACAAGAGCCGTTAAACATTCACAGAAACGTCTGCAAAATTCACGAAAAAAAGCCATTGCTGACTAAAAATCGCAAATGTTCACAGGATCGTCTGCAAAGCCACGGGGACGTCTTAGCAAACTGCTA